GACAGTTATGATCACAGAACAAATCTTCAAAAAATGGGGGTTACTTTGAGCATAACCCTAAAATCTAAGAGGTAATGCTCAAAGGAACCCTCATTTTCAAAGATTTTTTCTATGATCATAACTGCCTCAGAATAATTTTTAAAGCCTGCAAGTCAGATTTCCTAAAAATATTGAGATGAAAATTGTCTTTGAAATTGAAGTTTCATCTGTATATCCAGATGAAACTTCAAAATTTTGAAAAATGTTGGTTCAAGTCAATTTATCAGAAAATGTGCATTGCAGGGTCAAAAATGGCTTCCAAATGAGCCTAACCCCTTAGATTTTTTCTGCTTTGAGCATAACCCCCTCAGATGTAATATTGAAAAATGCGTGCATTGATGATTTCAACCTGTGGATTTTTGTTTCAAACCTCAAGCTAAATTGGAATTGCAGGGGTTAATTACTGTTATGCTCGAGGGCAAATCCATTTTCAAAGAATTTTTTCTGTAAGCATAACCCCTTAAAAAAATTTTGAAACCTCCAATTCTCTCCTTAAAATGTATGTTGAAGCCTGATTTTATACTATTGATCATGCCACTGTCTAAAACTACTCTTCAAGACACGCAACTATTTTTTCCCTTTAGAAAAAAAATTCGATTTCTTCAATTTTCTGGAACGGATTAAATGATTTCCCATACAAGTCTATGGGAAATTGTGTTTTGCATAACAAACGTTTTGTACTACAAACGTAGCCCTGGAAACGGATTACGTTCGTAGTGTGAGGTACCACTTTTCATGTGCAACAAGAATTACTGCTCACATTTTCAAGCTACGCATGCGCGCATCCAAAGACCTAAAAAAATGCAGGAATTACATTCCGAATGAACAAATTGCATTACTCCACAAAAATTGTAGCTTCGAAGTGAACTGTTCATTGGGAAACACGGCTATTTTCGAAGATTTTAGATATGAAAGAACAATTCATACGTATTTACTGTACATCACAAACTTGAACTACGGTACAGTATATGAACTTGAGCAAGATTGCGAAAAACTGGACGAAATAATTTTCCTCATTGGTTATAGGCTTATAGCTTATTTTAAAATCGCGGAGCCAGGTTAGAATAATTTTTCAATCAGCTGAAATAAAAATAAGGTCTGCTGCAAAATGCAATCGCGATGTTACCTTTTATGGCCGAAGCATTCAAACTTCAATGAGTATATAACTGAAAACTAACCTTGGATGAGGGCAAATTCGTGGCAAAGACCTGCTTTGAAGGCACGGAACTGAGCCTCATCGAGTCCAAGTTCTTCCGCTTCTGGCCATTGATTAGACAATGGATTCCCAACAAACCGCTTGTCCTTGTGCGTCAAAGGGAAAACGCACTGACGAACGGTACTAGGAAGATCCGTCCCAAGCGCATTCCGTCCCAAACGGTAAGCCCTTTAATCCTCTTTGTGGTTGGGGTGCGCGCCACCCAAACGTGCCAGCTTAATTCTTTTGTGATTTCTTGGAACCGGTGGCAGCTTTCCCTGACTTTTGGCGCCATATGAATTTTTGAATTTCTTTAAAATTTTTAAATTGTGTTCCCTCTCAAAAAAAAGAAGAAAACGATACCAAATAACATATATGCTTCGAAAATGTTATAGGAAGCAGAAAAAAACCCCTGACCACCCAGGTTATGTTTTCTATATCTTGAAACAGGCGGCAGCTTTCCATGAATTTTGGCGCCATATGAATTTTTGAAACTCTTTGAATTTTAAAAATTGTTTTCCCTTTCAAAAAAACAAACAAAATAATACCAAATAACCAAGGTTTTAAAAAGTTAATGTGAGGCACAAAAGAAATATGAACACATTGCTGCTTTAGGGAGGGCTTCAACAAGCAAATATATTGGGCAGTGGAATGTCATTTTTAGATGCTAAATTAGTTTTTACAAATTTTTGTTGCAGATGAATGAATGCTAGATGTTGAGTGAAAAGTGACATGAACACTGCAGAAAAATGTTGGCTCCAGCTTTAGGGTTATTGAGTTGAAGTTTAATTTTTACCCATTTTCAAGGCAGTTTCTAAACAGGGTGCACAAACAGAATATGGAATGTTGCTGTCAGAATGCGCCTGGGACAGATCTTCCTACTACCTACCTTCATTACTCCAGCATTTCTTCCCACAAATTGTCCTGAAGAACTAGACAGGAAGAGGAGAGACAGAGATGCATTTTGATTATGATTGGGTGCCTTCTACAACCTTGTAGCTGGGGCCCATCCCAACATTTCACTAATTCCCCTCACCAGAGGGTAAAGTACACTAAATACAGTACAAAGACCAGTAGAGGGTCTCTTGCTTCAGGGTAAGGGGTGTGTTATTCTTTTTATCTGGATGAATATAAAGGATTCTGAAGTTTGAGTATCTCCATAAATTGGAGAATAGATGAGAGCAACAAGAAAAGTCTGATGAACAGACGTCCTTTTCAACAGTTATTTTTTCTATAACTAATCTCAAAAGGACTGCAGGTTGGATGCTAATCTTTACAACACTTCATTCATGAATTGGTTTCAGAAAATAATTACAAGGACATAAACATAAATTTCCACAAGACACTTGGCAAAAGACAAACTTCATGAGGTGAAGTTGGAATCAGAATCACACTACAGATACAAACAGCAATTCCTATATTGAGATACACTCTGACCAAGTCAACCTTTCTCTAGAAGCACTGTGGGATCACTGAGCAGGCATTCTGGGGAGCACAGAACTACAAACCTACAAAAAGAAAAAAAAATCTCATGAACAAAATGATGGAAAGAACTGGCATTGCATCAGGTTATTTGCCAGTGCCAATCTGGAAAAACCCTAATCCTGAAATTTATCTAGAAAAGTCCCAATTTGCTCTTTTGGCACATCAATGACAATGTCCTGGGGAAAGCATAAATTTCAATGGATAAATATTCTGATCTGGCCACAAACAGGGGGGGGGGGGGATCAAGGGAAGCCCATTTTTTCCTGTCAAATTTGGGGGAGACTTTCCTCTAGGCAGCATTTCCATTGGGGGGGGGGGGGGGGGGGGGGAAAGCNGGGGGGGGGGGGGTGGATAAGCTCAACCAAAAACAGGGAAACAGGGGGCTGAATGGATTATTCATTCCTGGGTGAAAGCAAGTGAAAACCAAAACAAGCTTAAGCAATTAATCAATGAGGGATAAGTCAGAATATTTTTGGGAAAAGAATTAAATCCAACTTTTCCTGGATCACAAGACCAGCAGCTTTTCCTGTGCATGAAGTACAACCAACACTGACAACTCAGATAACACAGACTCCTATGGTGCACAAAAAGCAACTAAGGATCAGAACACATCCTCAGCACCAAGACATCAGGGGAGGAATGCCCAGTCTGCCTTGCTTTGCGGGTTTATATACAGTACTCCAAAGCTATAGGGATTCCCACAAGAGGAGAGGGAGACACATGAGAGGGAACCAGGAAGCACTATGTGCAACAATTACTGTACTGGAATATATCCAAGGACTTGGCAAAAATAAACTGGCTCTGGGATCCAGGAAGGTGATCTATTGTGCTTGTCATGATGGTCATCAATCATGACAAGCAACTTTCATTATACTGTACTGTATAATTAAGAGAATCATTACTCATGACAGTCAAACCCCATTTAAGTGGTTTCCTACACCATAAAAGAGATGCATATAATTATGGTTGTCATTATTCTTGACATGTACCTGCCTTACAGGTTAATGGATATTCCGAGGTCTGAGTAAAAATTCAAGTAATGAGTTCTGATAATTCAGGAAGCCTTGTTTCCCACAGTGGTGATGGAGTAATATTGCAGTAATAAATATATTAAGATGGAGGAATTCTCAAGGACTCACAGGACCAGCCACGTGAGCATTACACCATCAGGATCTCTGATCCTGTTCCTCTCCCTGGAAGCAGTCATTAAGGACTGCTGTTGTGTGTGCATGCCAGCACGCCTGGTTCACATGGTAACAGGTGGAAAAAAAGGGCTCATTTTCTCTCACAACCCATGGGGAATAAAATAAAATATTTTTTCTGTGTTAAAAATGTCCCTTCCACAGGCCAGGGAAAATTTTCAAAAAGAGAAGAGCCATGTGCGTTCATACGAGGGCAGGGTTTCAAAATAACGAACAACGCCTCTTTCACAAAAAAAAAAAAAAAAAAAAACGTAGTCACATGCGTGACTAATCTTCTCTGCAAATCACCAAGTCAAGTAACAACTGCAAATCGTCAAAATCAAGCTAAAAAAAAAAAAAAAAAAAAAAAAAAACGTAGTCACATGCGTGACTAATCTTCTCTGCAAATCACCAAGTCAAGTAACAACTGCAAATCGTCAAAATCAAGCTAAATAATCCAGAATATCCAAATAAATTGCATCAATTCTCTCGGCACCCGCTTGCTGATGATGACAGGGATATTTATTTTAAATAGAAAAATTTCACACGGAAAAAAGTATCCTTCAAAAAAGTGGACAAAATCTTTTCCTGCGATGTCACTTGCCCAGGTGTGGCTGGGCCTCTCCCCTATTATCCAAATAAATTGCATTAATTCTCTCAACACAATAATTCCGCATCAGGAAATGGATTATCGTGGGATTACTTTCTCGCACGTCACACACCGGCGAATAAATTTTAAATCGACTGTCTGATGCAAGAAAGTTCAACAATGAATTCGAAAAACTCAAAAACTTCTGTCGTTAGGCTTCACCCAAATGCGGTATTAGAACACAAACAAATAAAAAAATAAAAATCCGCGTAAACGTTCAAACTAACGGCACCGGAAATCCAGACATTGAATCAACCACTACCATGAACTATGGAATTTTCTCAGAACAAGAGGAAGATTAAACCGAACAAAATATTCTGCAGGTTCTTCCACAATGCATAGGGAAACGTTTGGAAGGTGCTCCATATATTATTAGACAGAAGGACTCAAAATTGTAGCTTTAGCCCCCTCTCTATTTTTTCTTCCAGGGGTTTAACCCGGATTGGCCAAAATGGCGTGGTCATTAGCTATCAGAGTCTCCCTCTTATGTGCAGCTACAGTCGCAGTTCTGTTTGCCTCAGCTGCAGTGGATTTAGAATACAACAACTTGGCCAAGTCCACAGTTGTGCCCAAGAGACATTCCTTGATGCACATGAACCCAGAATATTCTCCCCATGTTCTGCCTTACTGGTTCATGATGGAAAGTACGTCTCATCCTGCTTTTTTTTTAAAGCAAAGATATTCAACAAAACTCATTTTTCCATAGAACTGAAAAAGGAGAGAAGTCAGAAGAATGTCATTCCCAGAGATAAGATGCCAAAGATTAAGCATAGTCAAAAGTGCCCCCAGGGCACAGACAGGAGTCTCCCTTGTGAAGAGTCCACAGTGTATGCTCTCATACCTGGAGAGCAAGGAGACATTGCAACTGACCAGGAAGGAGGACCCTTCACAATGGATGTTCAACACATCCCAATGCCCAACTTAGAGGATATAGAAATGGCACAGAAGGCTGCAGAAGCTGCAGCTGCAGCCCTTGGGCCACCACCACAAGATATGTCCTTGATGGACCCATCCATACTGTTTTCATCTATGCCTGACTCTGTACCACCAGAATTTTCTCAGAACCCAACCTCTTGGATTCAAACTATGATGGCTGCAATGGATCCAACTGGAAGCTTATTCAGGCAAACATCATCAGGTTAATGACTCCACTGCTCAATTTGTCTCACAAGCAAATATATTTGCTTCACAAGGCCTGCTGGTTCCTGCATAACTGAAAGACAGTCAAATACACAACACATTTTATTGACATGAAGCAAATCCAAAAAAAAAATTGTACCAAAGAGCAAAACATTCTGGGAGAACTCAGAAATTGCAGCAAGGTTCAAGCTTATGCATGCATTTGAGGGCAAGGAATTCAGTCCCAAAATATTTGCATTACAGACAGTTGAATACTAGCCTTCACCAGATGAACAAATTCCAACTTCACATAAATTGTTACTGTAGTCCCATTCTAAGAAATTACTAAAATTTGGAGAAGCGTCAATGGAATACACACATTTTAGAGGCATATTTATAATTTTTGAGCATCCAGAATGTTATCCCACCTCAATGGAATATGAGTCAATGAGTGGTTGATATATATATTTTATTCCACTCTTGTTACATACATATATACATATGTCACTCCCAGCACAATACAAGTAAAATACATATATATTGAATAAATACTTCACACTCCTTTCTTTTATTAATGCTAGAGCTTATTGATAGGGAGCTCTAGAAGTCAGTTGAGGGACACAGAGTACAACTTCAAATGAAACCTGCTAGCAACTTCCTGTTGCTTTCCTTCACACACACACAGGCACTGAGATCCCAACTGAAACTGAGGAACAGGGGCTGGGGCATCTCCTTTTAAAGACTATGGGGAGAACTGGCAAGAATGATGCAATATGGGGAAAGTATTACATCATGTTTCCAATCTAGCTTGAGGCAAGATTGGATGTGCAGAAATGCACCGCAATATTACATCACCACAAAGGATTGAAATACAATCACAAAGGGTTAGGGGTGATGGGCTTTTACTTTGAACTACTGGAACACACAAATGAATCAGCCAGAAGGAGGGGTGACAAAGGAGGAGTGATTGACAGAAACAATCTTCTCTCCAGATAAAATAGGGGAAAACTCATCACCTCTGCTTTTCAGGAAAATTGGGGGAGCTTTCCTCTGGATGAGGAGGCATTGTCATCTTGGGGAATCCAAATGACAAAGCCTTCTTGATCAATAAAAAGGGGGGAACACTCTTCCATTCTTATTGACCATATTGATTAGAGTGACTTTAAAAGTGCACTCTTGAGTGAGTTCAAGAATTCCATTATCTTACTTTTAGGATAACAAGAATGAATTGGATTTTCTGCAGGGACCAGCTACATTACAAAAGAAACTTTTACTACAATGAAATAAATGTAGCCAATGTTTTTTTCCATGGTATGAACTTCCAGAGGTAGAAGCAACCGGTGAGGTGCCAAAAGACTTGGACTGGATGCTAAGAGGACCAGAAAATCTTGACTACAATGAACTTGAGAACTTCTTGCTGCAACTGACAAGATACTTCAAAGATTCCACACGATTAGAGGTTGTGGGGGAGACTGTACAAAACAGGACAATATATGCAGTGGTGTTGTGTTACAACAAGCTGGATTGCAGAACACGACCCATGCTCAAGCCAAAAGTCAGACTGGCTGCAAATTTTCATGGCAACCATGGCACAGCAAGAGCCCTTCTCACTTTCCTCATCATGTACCTCCAGTTGCACAGAGAACACAATCCCAGAGTGCAAGCATTGTTGCAGAAGGTTGAAATTCACATCATTCCAACAGTGAACCCTGATGGGTATGAACAAGCCCTTGAAGATGTAAGTGGATTTATCTTCCTTCCAAAAATGAAAAGGTGATGCAGAATGTGGTTCTAAATTTTTTATTTAATAATTGTATTTCCAACTGTACTGATATACACTACACTACTGTGCTTTCATTACTTCTACAGTTCCTTCTCTGCTCCAACAAACCCCAATTTTTCTCTTGGATGAATTCACTTCAATAATTGAGGGAACCAGTCAAATCATGCAATGCTGTGGAATTTAAGTATCTGTAATACACACATGAATTACTGTGGCACTCTGTCCCACTGGTTCAGGCATATAATGCTTTTGCTTGGATTGTATGCCTGAGTTGGGTTTTTGAAGAGCTCAGTTAAACAAAGAAAATCGCTTCCTTGACTGTCTGATTGATGAATTCTTACACTGCATTTGTTGCCTGCTGCACTAGCAAAAAAACAAAAGAAGAAAAGACTCTTCCCATGGAAAAAATCAGGGCTCCCTGAGGTGATTACATTTCAAGAGATGAAAAATTCACATTTTCCTCTGGAAAATGTGAAGTGTTCCCCGCAGAATAAATTTTAAAAGATGGGGTTTAGTCTTCACAATGGCCAGTTTTATAGTTCTTGGACAGAAGTTTTGCGAGTGACTCAAGATATACTCAAGTCTTAGTCCACCTGGTAAACTCTTCAAGGCATTAAACCAAGCTGAGCTTTGCCTTTCTCCTTCTAAGCTCATGTGTCACCAGGCATAAGAGCATGTTACTTGCTTTGCCAGCTGAAAAAAGCACTGGTGCATCAGCATCACAGGCTTTGTGCACTTTCTTCATGCTGGTTGAAGGCTCCCCCTCCATTCTACAACACTTGTTCAGGGGAGGGAAACGTCTGTAACTGAGGGTCGATGCCCTGAGTGGAATTTTCTGAAGAACATTGTACTCAGAAGAATCGCATGAGAGTAAGGAAGAACATAGAGACATTCCAAGCTTCAAAAAATGAAAAAAGGTGCACCCCTGGTCACTCTACAGTTGAATGATACAATCTTACACAGCAAAATCTTCTTGAGATAACGCAGAAACATATTGCTGATGCAGTGAATATTTTTACTTGAAGATCACTTTCATGTGTGCATTTCCATATTGAAATAGTGAAATGAAATAGTTTTTTCCAAGGGCTCAATGCCAGATGAGTCTTTTTAATTTAGAAAAAAACTGGATCCAATTTACTTCATCTTATGAGATATTCTGCTGAGAGAAACAAACGTCAGTTATTTCCTATTGTTTTTGAGGCATTTCTTTTTTGTTTTTACTGTTCCTGTTGGTATGCAGTTGTTGCCTCAGAGCACAAGTCACTCGTGTTCACTGGACATAAACTGCATACTAATGGAAAGCAAAAAAAGCTAAACCAAAGTTACTGAGGAAACAACTCAACAATTTGGCTTGACTCTGCAGTCAGTCCAGTCAATCATCAACCATTTCCTATTATCCCTTTTCTATCCCAGAAAATAGCATCATTCCCCATTCTCAAAAAGAAATGAGATTCCCAGTTAATCCCATTCCTGAGACACAGATTGAAGAACAAACAGCATGGCCCAGGGAATGAATTACTTCACTCCTCCCCAAGCACTTTTGTAGTGGGGACTATTGTCCCAAGCCTCTTGTCAAGAGGACATGTTTTTCACCACATAAGAACACTGTTTTCTCTTTCCCGTACCAGGTTCAAGAGACTGTGAGTTGAGTGCATAATATAATACCATATTCATACACCAGATACTTTGACAATACAACACACAATAGACAAATACAATACAAAACAGAAATGCTTCAAGTCCAGTGGACTGAGATACACAATTCTACAGTTTAATCTTGAAAGCTACCGGGTTATCTACTCCTTACTTTACAGGTTCAACTCTAGAATAGTTATGCTTGCTAATGGGAAAAACTTCCATTTATATACTGTTAGGGATACATCAAGAGGGGAAATGCTTGAGTGCAAAATCCTTGAAGGCAAGGTTGCACTCAAAAGTCAAAGCATGAACTAATGATACAGTGAGCTAGTGTGAGAAAGCAACAGCAGGAGCAGAAGGAATTTTCCTACAGGTCATTTGCCAACAGGAAGCATCAGAAATATTTTACACATACTGAATTAGGTACAGTCAACCCCTGGTTAAAAAACCAGGTTCATTTTGGGGTGACTGGTCTGGTTGATGGTCCAAAATTTGGTTAACAAACCAAGGTCCGTTTTTCTAGCTTTAAAAAATTCCAAAAAAAATAATTTTCAATCAATTTTCTACAGCATTAAATGCGCAAAGATATTTCCTAGATTTCTCAATTTTTTGAATGCCAAAATCATAAAATTTGACAAAATTACAACCAAAAATGTTTTTACTTTTTGAATTTTAGCTCTTTCAATTTGAAACATTTTTAAATGAAAAAAAAACAGCAGACTTGTGAAACATCAGTATGCATGACACCCTGTATATATTTTTCAACTTTCATCAAAATAAAATAAATTAAAATGAGCTAAACTAAAAAGTTTGAATTCTTGCTTCCATTTTTCTTCCCAATTTTTCATCTTTTAAAATGTGCCAAAAAAGTAATTATGTATGGAAATACAAATTTTAAACTGCATTGAAAGTATCATGAAGTTCTCTACATTTTCAAATTTTCAAACCTTAAAAATAATTTAAATGGACAAAGGTGAAAAGGAGCATGTAAAACCTTTTCTAAATCCATTCTTACAAAATTATTTTTTCTTTCAAATCTGAAAATTTATGCAAAATTTAATTCACCAAGCTTCAAATTTTTAAAGGGATTAGAGGCAAAGCTATTTCTCTGAATTTTCATGTTTCGTGTTGAAAAATGTACAAAATGAAAGAATGTAAAATGAAATATGTGAAATTTTTTGATTTTGTAATTGAATGACTAATAATTGCTTCATTGTTTAATTTATTGAGGGTGCATAAAGTTCAGGGGTTGTGCAGTTTCAGAATGTCAGTGTTTTTTTTTCAACCCAGAAATTAAATTCCCCCATTTTTTTTACCAAAAAAAAGGTGTCTTTTAATTTCTTCCTCTTTTCTTTCTTTGGGAAACAGGGGAAATTCTCCCCTTTTTTAATGGGGTTAGTTTCCCTTTTTTCAAAGTGAAAATTTTTGAGAGGGGGTCTTTTGTTTAATTTTCCCATTTTCTTAAAGAAACTTGGAAGAATAAACAAACTTTTGATTTCTGTATTTGTAGAACACCTGCACTTTATGCTTTGTCAATAAATTAAACAATGAAGCACAGTTATTAGAGAAAAAATTAAAGTTCTAGTTTGATCCTCATACATTTTTTTAATTGCTGCATTTTTCAACAAAAAATATGAAAATTCAAACAAATATATTTTCCTCTAATCCCTTTGAAAATTTGAAGTTTGGTGAAGAAGAAAATTTTGCATTAATTTTCAGATTTGAAGGAAAAAATAATTTTGTAAGAATGGATTTAGAAAAGGTTTTTCATGCTCCTTTTCACCTTAGTCCATTTAAATTATTTTTCAGGTTTGAAAATTTGAAAATGTAGAGAACTTCATGATGCTTTCAATGCAGTTTAAAATTTGTATTTCCATACATAATTACTTTTTTGGCAAATTTAAAAGATGAAAAATTGGGAAGAAAAATGGAAACAAGAATTCAAACTTTTTAGATTATATCATTCTAATTTATTTTCTTTTGATGAAAGTTGAAAAAGATTTACAGGGTATTATGCACACTGATGTTTCACAAGTTTACTGTTTTTTTCATTTAAAAATGTTGCTAATTGAAACAGCTAAAATTCAAAAAGTAAAAATATTTTAAGATGATTTTTGTACGATTTTTAAAAATGTTATTTAGATTTTTGGCTGTAATTCTGTCAAATTTCAAAATTTTGGCATGATCAAAATGAGGAAATTTAGAGGACATCTTTGCACATGCAATTCCGTAAAGTATTTGAAAATCAGTTCAAAATTCAATTTTTGACAAATTTCCTAAGTTTAGTAATCGTGAATTTTTTTGGAACGATTTGGAACGAATTAAAAATTTTAACATTAATGTCTATGGCGGATCTCATTTCGGTTAATGAACCCCCCGGTTACTGAACCAGTTTGTGGAACGAATTAAGTTTGTTAACCGGGGGACGACTGTAATCATATAATACTTTTTTTTTGAGGGCTCAATGCCAGATGAGTCTCTTTAATTTAAAAAAAAAAACTGGATCCAATTTACTTTATCTTATGAGATATTCTGCTGAGAGAAACAAACCTCAGTTGTTTCCTCTTCTCTTTTAGGCATTTCTTTTTTGTCTTTACTGTTCCTGTTGACATGCCGTTGTTGCCTCAGAGCATAAGTCACTCGTGTTCACTGGACATGAACTGCATACTAATCATGGAAAGCAAAAAAAGCTAAACCAAAGTTCGTGAGGAAACAACTCAACAATTTGGCTTGACTCAAGAGTGAACTCTGCAGTCAGTCCAGTCAATCAACAACCATTTCCTATTATCCCTTTTCTATCTCCCAGAAAATAGCATCATTCCCCATTTTCAAAAAGAAATGAGATTCCTAGTTAATCCCATTCCTGAGACACAGATTGAAGGACAAACAGCATGGGCCCAGGGAATGGATGACTTCACTCCTCCCCTAGCACTTTTGTAGTGGGGACTATTGTCCCCCTTATAACATCCCACAGCATCTTGTCAAGAGGACATATTTTCTGCCACATAAGAACACTGTTGTCCCTTTTCCCTACCAGGCTTAAAGAGACTGTGAGTTGAGTGCATAAGACAATACAATAGTCATACACTGGATACTTCGACAATACAACACACAATAGATAAATACAACACAAAACAGAAATGCTTCAAGTCCAGTGGACTGAGATACACAATTCTACAGTTTAATCTTGAAAGCTACCGGGTTATCTACTCCTTACTTTACAGGTTCAACTCTAGAATAGTTATGCTTGCTAAAGGGAAAAACTTCCATTTATATACTGTTAGAGATACATCAAGAGGGGACATGCTTGAGTGCACAATCCTTGAAGGCAAGGTTGCACTCAGAAGTCACTGAAGCATGAACTAATGATACAGTGAGCTGCCATTGCATCATGCTCTAGTTTCACACTACACAGCAAAGGGAGGGGTTTCACCAGTCATTTGTTCTGCTTGAGAGATTGTCCTTCACTAGAATCATTATTCTAGTCATGAGAACAAATGACTATTCCCATCAATTACCACAGCAAGGTTGAGTAGGGAAATAGGTGGAAAAGATAAATTTAAGGGGAAAGACTTACCTCTCTTTTCCAGGACAACAACACCCTCTTGTGTTTATGTGGTGTTGCATGGGATTCCTCATGCAAGTCCAGGCTTGCTAGATTGGAACAATGATGCAATAAAGGCATTTTCATGACATTTTTTCTAGCTCTAGGAATAATCTCTGCCTAGCTAAGTCAAGACCCTGTCCAGGGGAAAAACTAGTTTGAATGTTCAAGGAATTCTTGGAGCATTTTCTAGAATACTGGACACACTCTAGCTGAAGTACTCAGTTCAAGTGTAACTACTCCTAGCTTCTACCTAGATGTCAAGTTTATCAAGTTACAGCATTGCACATTACTGTAATAACAATATTGACTTGTATGGGGTTGACTATGATTTCAAGTTGCCACAAAAAACCAGTGAGGAATATCAAATTATCAGATCCCCATTCCATCCTTTCTCAAATACAATTCTAGAGAGAGGAAATAGTTTTTGCCTGTAGGCAGTAAGTTTGCTGATGGAACTGGTTGCCAAGAGAGAGGATAACATATTCTTTGCTTGTGGTAATTAATGCACAAATTCATGGGAATAAAAAGGCAAGCACATTTTCTGATTTTGGAAGAACTTTCCTACCTGATGTCAAGGAACCACTCTCATGATTTTCAAGATATCACCTGCATTCCAAGCAGAAAGAGTAAGATGTAAAAGGAGATCTCAGCAACAATGCTACTGTGGGAAACACGGTAGAACTCAGTTTTGATAAGTAATGCATGGAAGAAAAGACTGGCATGAATAAATCTTTTCCAAGACATCAACCCATTTATGCTTTCATCCATAAAGAAAGGTGAAAATGGATGGTTGGATGCAGGTTCAGACTTGCATCCTCTATTCACTGAACCTTCACAGATATTTCTTTAAACCATACATCTTTCAACAAGAAACACCATCAGCATTTACAAGTGACTTCCTATTCACATGACAGCAAAAGGACAAATTACTTTTCCAGGCTGACAGGGATGGAGTGACGAATGGGAAAGGAATTAGCATTCCTTTCATGTGGATGGGGGCCTTTACTAGGAAGAGTCTCTCTCACCCATGAATAGTTGTAGCAGTGCAATGAATTTTAAAAGGAAACACATGTCCTTCTTTTCCTACAAGACAATGAAATGTGATATTCAAAAACTATGAAATCAATCAGTTTTAAAATTTTGTTTAATGCATAATGATGAAATTTAGAAATATAAGATCATACAGTAACACTAGTAAAACTCTTAAAATATTCCCTTTGGGCTAAAAATAGTAATTTCCTGCTGATTTTTATCAGTTTCTATTGGGGGTTTTTTTAATAGCCCAACATATTGAGAAACAAATCAGAAGAGAACTTCAAAATCCCCTGAAGATTACTCATGATTTCTTCCTATGCCAACAATTTTCCTACTTCAACTACAGTCAACATGTACAATTTCAAGTACCAGCAAAAAAAGTGGCTTCCAAAGGTTCTGAGTTAGGGAAGTTTTGACTCAGTGATAACAGCATTTCTGTTTTGGGAAACATATGAGAAAAAGTTCTGCAGACCACCTGGTTGTAGATCACAACATTTCCACTGGAGGTTTTGCTCCCCGACACTTGAGGGTAGAAAGAAAACATTGGAACTACTGTATTTTTTTAGAGAGCAAGGAGCTTGCAGGCAAAATAGTTACTGTGACGTGAAAGTAAAACTTGGTCGGGAATGAGGTCACTTCCATTAGAGAAACGTTAACGATGAAACAGCGTGCAAAAGGGCGTTTCTGAGCATCAACTCATAGTCCCTGCAGCATTTTCAATCCCATCACTGATTTTTGTTGAACTAATTTGAAAAATCGTCGACTGAACATCGATTGAATAATTTTTCTCTTCAGTGGGAACGTCTGAGGCGGTACTCAAACATATCCGAGGGTTTCTACAACGCCAACGGTGAAGACTTGGAAGTGGATTACCCAAACATTTGGAAATTTTCGCACTTCTCACAGCCGGGTTTTTGGGATGAGAGAGAACCGGAAACAATTGCTCTCATGAAGTACAGCATGGAGGAACTGTTCGTCATGTCCGGCGTTTTCAGTGACGGTGATCTCGTGGTCAGACTTCCGCTCTGGTCTCACCAGCAGTAAGTTGCCCTCTTCTTACGCGGAATTTAATTTTGGCAGCTCTCGTTCAGAACTTTTTTTTTATTTTATTCCTTATCTCGTGTGAAATGATAACATGAGAACTACTGTGTGAAAGTACCATGAAATTGCATCCCTTGGGGAGGGGAAAAGGTCATTGAACTTCTCGCCCATTATTCCCTCCATCCTCAATTCCTCCTGCACGGAGCCCCCAGGGTATCCATACAAACTCCACAGGGGCTCCGCGTGCATGCAAAAATAATAATAATGCGGGATGTTCAAGTTGAAGATGAAGTATGTTCTACATCGAATGGGCAATAACTTGTGTACCCATTTCCAAGAAATTCACCGCAAAAAAATAAAGTTTATTTTCTCTTTTTTTTTTTAAGCTATTAGGACGATTTTTACGGCGAAGACCTTGGATAAATCTTAAATATTTTCGGACATGAATATTTTTGGAAATTAGGATCCAGGGTTTGAAAAAGTAGCTTGAAATATTTGAAGCATCTTTCCCGGTCTAGAAGATTGTAACTTCGTTCAAGTAGATCAAAATGACTTTTCGATTTCCTGAAGTATTCCAGAAAATCGAAGTCATATTTTTTCAGTACACTAAAAGCCATTTTTGAAAACTCGAACTACTCTTGAGTCCAAAAAACGTTTTACGAATAGTGTTGCAAAGATTATGATCTTCAATATTTTTTCAATATCTTCAATATTCAATGCGAAGAAAGCGAGCGCATCCCAAGTTTTTCCTTCACAAAAAAATTCACAATTTTAAATTTTTATTGGATTTTTCCAAATCTCGGAATCCGCGGATGTGTGGCATCACTTTATTCTATTTTTCACTTCATTTTTTATTTGACTTTACTCATTTTATTTTGCACAGACGGAATTTTTCGGATACTGGAGTAGAAAGTAGGCCACCAGACTACGACGTGTTCATGCAAATCGGTCACGAATATGCCTTCAGACATCCAGTGATGAATGCCAAGGAATTCCTATGCCCCAAAGGCAGGACACACTTTTTCGACGGCGTCGAAAATGGAGCCTTTGGTCACATTGTTGAACCACCCAAGGGCCACTCCGCAGACTGGCACTACAAATTTGCAAACGCCTTCGAATGGACCATCTACATTTCATGCTACACCATGTCCATGGAAGAGACTTTGGACGTTGACTGGACCAGGAATGTCAATTCCATGATTGCATTTGTGGAAAGTGCGCGAATGGGAGCACAAGGTAAAACATGGGTGTTTAGTTTACTGTACTGTTATTCACTAAAAAGAGGACACACATTTTTTTTGTTTGTTTCAGGCATGGTATGGGACAACAGAACTGGGTCGCCCATTTCAGATGCTTACATTGAGGTCAAGAACAGAAGGCACAGACTCAGGACCAATGAGAGAGGGGAATACTGGAGACTTCTCAATGATGGAGTTTACTCAATGAGAGCCGTCAAACGAGGGTAATTTAATCAGCACCCTTTTACCCAATTGCAGTGCATCAACAGTTTAAAATTCAATTGTTCATCAGGTACGACCCTGCACCATGGGCAGTTGTTAGGATCTTCAATGCCTTGGGACCAGTTACACAGCACTTCTATTTGTCACAGAGCGTCAAGAGTGAAGGCAGTGGGAGCTTCCTCTGCTAGTTTTTTTTCTACTGTTTCTGTTTTATATACGTCCTTAACCTCTATGTCCTGTCTCAATTGAGTACAATGTTACTCAGTCTTCCTACAATTACAAACGAAATGCATCACATACACTTCAACACACTAGCATACTGAGGAATTTCAAGCAGGATTTTTTTAATTTTTTTCCAAATAGGTTCATTGTCATCTTTATCCAGAATTATCTTCTCAAAATGTTTAAATTTTTCAAAGGAAGTGGAAAGAAACTCAAAAGTCGAATAATGGCTACAATGCTGGACAGCAAGAAATACAAAGACTAACCTTTGATCCAAGCATGTGGAGAAACAATAGACAAGAGAAGTAAGACTGATTCCTGGCATTTATCTCATCCTTCTGGTGTGTATGGCATGTAAGATTGCAACACACCAAAGAAGGCAAAACAACTAAAGGCCAGGGTCTTGACCCAAGGAGAGAAACTTTAAAGGGCAAGATAATTTTAAGGAGAGATAAAAGAATTTCATCCTTATCCAGCATATGATGGAAAAGAAGCAGACCTGCATTCCTCATTCCAATGTGTTTCCTTGGACAACTGGGTTGCTAATGAAAGCTAGGAACAAGCATTCTTTACTCTGTTATCCTACAAAGGGTAAACCCCAGTTCAGCCTTACTCAGAAGAGAGCACACTTTGTGCACTCTCTCAAATCAATAGCAAGATCAACTGTCTTCCATTAGCTATTGCTTTCCAACAAGGGGAAACAATCATTGCGACCCTAATGATAGAAATCCTGATCCATGAAATGAACAGAATGGAATTGCTCTTGAGTGAAATATAATTGCTCTGGTTACACGCCAGTGATAATGACCAGACAGATCAAGAGCAAGAAATGCAAATATCACTTCCATTTTGTAAAGAGTTGAGCCCACCAGGATTTCAGGATTGATTGTATTTTAATTGCTCGTTGAAGGTTACTGTAACTTGTGATGGAAGTTGTAATGACTTCCCATCAAGGAAATTGCAGCAATTATTTTTGCTTTAGCAATTTCCTGTTTTCTAGGCTTTCTAAAAAGGTTTTCTTGGAAACTACAAAAAGGGGTTTTCTGTAAGTTACTGTATTTCTAAGATAACAAATGCAACTTTTAATCCTTTTTTTTCAAAATTGCCCCAAACTGTTGCCATTATAATGGAACAGAATAGTGGTTTTCCTTTGAGGCCAGGGGACAAAATAGAGATTATCTTGATTAATATATACAGATTTTGATTTAGAACATGACTTGGAGGGTATTTTTGACAAAATTCTTTTCAAGTACCATGAATACATAATGAAGTACAGTATCTCAATCTTTCCTATAAAATTGTGAAATACTGTATCAACTTAACCTTTGTCTATAATTGCTGGCAAAGTGTTTCTACTGTAAGACAATGCCTGGATGTCAGGACAGAATTCTTCTTTCCAAGTTTCCCAATGTCCAAATGTCAGGGGTCCCACGGCATGTAAGTCTACATCTGAAGAGACGAGTTTCAACTTTAAATGCATGAGAGGAGGGAAATGGTTCAGTTCCCCCGGTCTGAGCAGTCAACATGCGGGCTGGCAAAACACTTGAACACGTTAAGAGAGCAAGAGAGTGGTATGCGAGTTGGATCAATCCCCATGCCCCTTTCCTTCTTCCAAGAAGTGCGACTAGGTTTTCGAGGGCAGGTTCATGCAGGAAATGTGTTGGGTGACTATCAACATTTGAAAAAGTTTTGAGCATAAAAAAAGCAAGAGAAACTCAAAAAACAAAACAAAAATTACATCACTGGAAAAGCTCCACCCCTGTTCCCAACTGGGAAACTTCCCATAACCCCCCCCCCCTTCTTTTTAAAATCGGGTGGGGGGGTGAGAACCAGCATTTGTTATTAACAGTAACCTTTCGCAGTTTGGAAGGGGAGTTCAGCAAAACGAAGAAAAACAAGGTTCCACAGCTGGGAGGGGTATAAATTTCATCTTTAAGTTCCCCTCCTATTTCCCATTTTCTCCTCTCCTAGGGGAGCCAGGAACTGCCCTGTTGTTCACAGGGCAAGAAAAACACCATCTGGTGCCACATCTGGACAGGGCTTGAATTACAGACAGTTTTCTTCAAAACAAGTCAAGCATAATACTGTACAATATTTTAGAGGGAGATAACATGGCTTTCACATTGATATATACAGAATTTGCATGAAGCACACAAAATTGTCAAGCGCAATTTTCAGTTTCTACCTTTTTTTTTAAAGCTGTTATCTCCCATTAGAGGAAATATGACTCAAGAGTGGTTGTACCAGTATTTTATTCCACTCCTAGATAAAATGTATACAACACACACAAGCGCAATATATGTATATACAATAAATGTACTGGGTATATTATACACACTCTAACTTTACTAGAGCTCCAAAAGGAACTCTTGGAGAGACAGTTAAGTCAGACTAGAGAGAGTCCACAAAAATTAAGAGAATACTTTTCTCTAACTCTACACTGTTCAACACAACAAGCTCAGCAGACCTTACTGGTCTATTGTTTTCCCAAACTGCTCTGAGGTTCTCCCAACCTGATCTGCTCCTAACTGAGGAACTACTCTATGGCCTGCTCAAACTGATCTGAGGAACTGGGGCTGGGGCATGTCCTTTTAAAGACTGAAGGAAGAACCAGCAAAAGAATGTTGCAATAGGGAATGAGTATTACATTATGTTCCAATCTAGATCAAGTCTAGATTGGATGTGCAACATGCACAGCAATATTTCATCACCACACAAGATTATCACACAATCACAAAAGGTTTAGTGGTGATGGGTCTCTTTATTTTAATCTACTTGAGCACACATATCCATCAGGCAGAAGAAGGGGTGATTCACAGAAATAATCTTCCTCCCTCTGGGAAATCCCACAGACACACAAGAGAAAACTCATAACCTCTAGAATCAGAAAATCAGGGGGTTTACTCTTGATTATCAGGCATTGTCATTCCAGGAAATCCAGATGCCAAAGCCTTCTTTATCATTGAGGGGAAGAAACATTCTTCCAATCTCATTGATTGCATTGATCAGAGTGACTTCAAAAGTGCACTCTTGAGTAAGCTTGAGAATCCCGTTATTGTATTTTTAGGAAATCAAAACAGACCAAGAACATATTGAGAGACTGAATCTGAAGAGGACTTCAAAATCCCCTGATGGTTAATCGTGATTTTTTCCTTTGCCAACAATTTTCCTAGTTGAACTGCGGTCAAATGTTTTTGAGCCAAATTTCAAGGGACCAGCAAAAAAGAGGACTGTCAGAGGTTCTGAGTTAGGGAGGTTTTGACTCAGTGATAACAGCATTTCTGTTTTGAGAAACATACAAGAATTGCAGGAAATCGTACATTTCAATATTCTGGGCCTATTAAATGAGCTTGCAGGATGCTGAACTTGGAGTCAAGGATTCATTTGTCCAATTGGTCTTTCACTTCCTCTCAAAACACATCAAGTTACTTTTTCTTGCTTTTCTCTTTCCTGTGTCAAGAAAATAATAGCTAAAAACCTCAGGAATTGGAGTTACAGGAGGTTTCAGAGGAGAAGCTGTTGAATTAGGGAATTCAGAGAGACTTTTTAAAAAATGACTCAGGGCGGTTACAGTTATTGAAGTTAAATAGTGGTTGTAGATGTTTCAAAAACTACCTCAAATTCCACAACAGATAAAAATAGATCCCCCGATGTCTCAAAATACTGCGGCCATGCAAACGCAAGAGGGCACCGAGTGCAATCAATCATGGAGGAAGCATGCTTCAACCATGAGCATTATCATCAAGTAACCCGGATTAATTATCAGAAAGGATATCAAAAAGACCACGCAAGACACATCAGGTAGGCCACAAAAAGCCGGTCATGGATAAACACACTTTCCATGCGATGACGTCAGAAAAAAACACTTGCTGATAGGGAATACTGCCCTTGAGCCCCCTCAACAGAACATCCTTGAAAGCGACTCACAGTAAATATTGACTGCCGTATAAAAGTGTACCACAGTTGACAATTTCAACATAAACTGCGAAGTTTCTGACACTCTGAAAACAGAAGTGGTGTGCCTCGAAAAAAAAAAGTACAACATTTAATCAGTGGAAACGTGGCCCCGGTGGTGATGCATCTAAGCATGAAGCGTTTCTTTTGCACCATGCTGGCATGTTCCCCATGGTGGCCAACCATGTTGGCAATGCCATCGAGTCATGATCAAAGAGCTGATGCCTTTTGCGAGGACCCCGACTACACCTCTGACACTCTTCAACTCATCAGCCTCACTAAAATTCTCCAACTACTGGGTGACACTGGCTCAAGAAACAGATATGAAGTGTCATCCATCACCAGGTCCGCAACCACTGGTGGATTCATCCTAGTGTTGGATGACACGTCGACAGTCATACACTTGGGCCAAGAGCTCACTGGGTTTGCAAGACCCGAGAACAACCTGGTTTACTCAATAAGTGGGGATTTTGTTTCACAATTTGAGGGAATTGTTGCTGTTGGCCAGGGAGGCAGTTACTTGGTGGTCAGTGAATCAGTGGGAGTTGATGGGGCGTTCTATCCCATTATTCAAGAAATGCAATTGCCTCAAGATGGAGGCAGCAGTGGATCAGAAGGTAAGCAGACACCTGCTACCAATTTAGCAGCAGTAGCTCAACACATAGTAATGGTTAAAGCACAATAATGGCCAATAAAATACTGTGTATTGAGCCAATAAGGTACAGTATACTGAATAGATTTGAATTTGAAAAGGAATGATTGGATGCCTACCAGGCTTGAACCATTATTCTGAATAGCGTTTTGTTTTTCTGGGTAACCCAACAGCACCTTCAAAACAGATGGTGTTGTAACAGAAAAGGAAACTGAAAATATTTTTGGAATACTGTTCCATTAGTACAAACTCCAGAGTTTACTCTCCAGTATGGCAATTATATTTCAACAATTTGTTGACATGTTTCAACGCCTTGGGCTTGCTGCTGAATTTCATATGCCAATAAGCTAGCCTAGAAGCTCCAATTCCACTGGGCTGCTCTTTAAAATTGTGTTCATCAGTAAGATAGGCAGATTATTATAGAGTACTTCTTGAATTTTTTACAAAATGAAAGCAATTATTCTAGTTTTTCATTCTGAAAAACCTTACTTCTAGTCAACTTTTCCAAGTACTTCAAGATATTCCAATAAAGCTTCTTCATTAGTTCTAAACTTGATTCTTGAAAAAGGCAGAACATTTTAAAATACTGCACCTGTCAGTCTTTCAACAAAAAAACCTTTTTGAGGCTGCAAAAATTTTCTGCTGGTCTGCAGATAATTTTTTTTTATTTGCCCATCCACAAAAATGTATGGTAATTTGCTGGTCTTTGGGCCCAAAGAGGCTGGGGGAACACAGCTGTGAATCATCTCCCAAGAACAAACCCCAACACTGATAGTGTTCCTTTCGTTTCAGGATACAGAGTATTGCAAGAATGCGTTTTTGCAGAGGCCATGGAAACTGACAACAAAGGCATAGAGGGCCTCGCACTTTTGCAAGTGCCGCCAACATCCGATAATGCGCGAGGACTGATCCTACTCGCACTCTGCGAAGGAAACCACTGCGCGTCTGGCAACTCCGGCGATGAACGCGGCAAAGGAATCATCCTCGCCGCCGTTCACTCAGTCCAACCAGACGGAACGTGTTCCTGGGAAGTGACCAAACGCATTCAACCCCGCCAGAGGACGTTGGCGGCACGAAGTCATCGTCACTGCGACTGTTCTTCAGCTCTTGAATAGTCATCGCCATGCGGGTCCATTCATCACCACGGGGTACAGCCAGTTGCTGAGTTTTTTTTTCATGGCGGGGGAGGGAGGGGAAGAAAACAGAACCAGAACATTTTTACAACTTCCTGCAAGTGGCCTTGGGCTCAACTGCTTTGTGAATGCACGTGAGGATTGGTTCGGAAGTTCGCCTCTCACAAGATGGAAATGGGCATAAGTTCAGCAGAAACAATATTTTTCGTACCTTCCTGAGCAGAGTTCAGACTTCGTCAGAAGCCGTTCGGAATACAAGGAGGAGAGAAAGTTGGAAGTGCACATATTCAATGAGGAAATAACGTTCACCCGCATGTTTCATGGGGGGGACAAATGACTCACACAACGACTTTGTCTCACATGACGAAATTGTGCGCGCCAAAAACGCTTGGATCTCAACAAGTTTTCGACTTCTTTTCTTCAAAAATTACGGAAAGTAAAAAGAAAGGTTTTACTTCTTCCTTTTCTTTCCTTCTCAATTCGTGAAATTTAGAATTAGATCAGAGTACAAATTCATCGGGATTACCGAACACAGTACTCAACGAACTTGGAATACACTAATTTAGGCACACACAAAATTGTAATCCTGCATAGTTGTAATAATTTGGTTTAGTGTACCGTTTGGAAAGGCTTACTCAATTCACAATGCAAAAATGAGAAATATTGCGTTTAGCATTACGAGAATCCCGCAGAACGAAACACCCCCAATCGCAGGTTAATTATGGTATGAGGAGCCTCACTAGACATGACATGATTCAAGTTCTGGTCACACTGATGTGACTCAAAAGAACTCCAGGACTTCATGGAACTGGATTTTATAGATCTTAGCAACTTCCAAACCATCCCTCATGTATTTCATGAAGAATCTTCATAAATCAAACCTCGGTAAGTCAAATACCTCTCAACGTCAAATACTTTCAAGTCCCTTTCTGAACTTCCTTATAAACAAGGCATTCAAAACCACAGAACTCGACAGTTTTCCTCTTCGAACCCTATAAAGCTCGAATTTTCTGAAGGCCTCTTTGCCAGTATTCTTTTGACGCAGGAAAGATAAAAGCCATAAAAATGCAACTTGATGCACTTTGAAAGGAAATGGGCCCAAGGGGGCAAATCAACCCTTTGCCTCAAGGTTCAGCATCCTTTCAACTCATTCTAGAACCAATTTGAGACCCAAAATATCACCAATTACAATTTCCTGTACCTTTTCGGTACTTTCCTGTTATCTCAGTACCTCATTCCTAGACCACACTACCATCCACACAAATCTTTAGGACAAGTTCATAATCACAATGACCTACCAGAAACTGTGAATTTAATTTTTCCGCATTCTGCTGAAACTGATTTTGGGAGGCGGTTAGGTAATAGGTCTGGTTAAATTGGTCAAAGGGAAGGTACAGAGATAACAGGAAAGCAGGTACTGAGATAACAGGAAAGTACCAATTTTCTTCCTTTCCAACGACAAAAAGGCGAGTTACCTGAACTTAAATCATCTTGCTGGTCCCTTGGAATTTGACTCACGGAGGTTCAATAGAACTGTTCAGTATTTGTGTTTCCACAATCGGAAAAAAGGCAATAAAACTCACGTCTCCAAGATCATAGACCCAGAGCTTGCCAGCCATGTCACCCACAATGACATGCTGACCACTCTGCGTCAAGCTCACGCAATTCAACGCAGCTGATCCACCATCCACATAAACACTAGCTGCTGGAACCTCTGTGTCAAAGTTCAGGTTCCACATATCCAACCGACCGGTTCCGTCCACAGTGGCGAACACAGCCGGGTGCACCGGGCTCCATGACACGTCATACACGTAGTCAGAGCCGCATTCAAAGCTGTAGACCGGTTTCTTGTCCCTCGCACTCCATAGTTTGACAGTCCAGTCAAAGGAGGAGGTGAGGAAGAGGTGGGATAAATCCGGTGCACTGGAAAACAGACTTGAACCTGGATGTGGATCCAGACCCGTAACTGGTCCGTGGTGGCCTTCGTAGGACTCGAGTATACCAGTTTTGCTGCCATGTCGACAGCCAGAGTACAATGTGCCTTCTTCGGATCCCACCAAGAAATAATTATCGTTGGTGAGACCAGCATCCCTACGGGGAAACAAAAGGAATGAAAAGGGTGTGTCTGAAACCGGGTTGGAACACTTGGAGTGAACACTGTTGTAGGTGCAGTTGAACCTGGATAAGCAGAATACCTCCCTATGTGGAATTTTTCGAAGTCCCCTTCTGAATTTCACTAGCAAAAATGTATTAAAAACATCCTCAACTGTAAAGATTCTCCTCTCTAACCGCCATAACTCAAAATTTCTGCTGACTTTCTGGCTACTACTTCATAAATACATGAAAGTGGAAAGAAATACAAATTTACCTGAAGGTGTTCTGCAACAAAATGGACTAATTGGTGGAAATAAGTTTAGTATCCTGTCAACTGATTTAAAAAGCAATTTAAGGCCCATCACAAAATACACATTTTCAGAAATTCTTCTCTTGTTCCCACAATAAGAAAAGCTTGTTTCCTAAACTTGAATTTTTTGCTGGTCCCTTGAAAGTTGACTTAGACAGGTTCCACCACAATTTACTAGTGCCTAGCAGTGCTGGCTCACATTATCTTGATCAGTTCAAGTGTGCTGCAGCTTTGTGAAGCATGGAGAATCCTAATTCTGGTTGTTTGTTGGGTGTTCTAAAGCAGAAAATTTTTTTTGTGGTTTCTTGATCAAGACCACTCACTGCATTTCAGACTTCAAGTACCGTATATCAGTTCTTGGAAACACAATTTTATTTTCACATTGCAGAAGTGAGACTATCTAAGGCTGGAATACCACTGATGTTTTGGAAGTTCCTAATCTTCACATCCAACACACTCTTTTGCTCTATTACTTAAATCTTCTGTGATGACATCTGATCACCTGCAGCAAAATTTGAATAGATGGAATGAAGGATTACAGGTACAGTAATTGTTTGTGGGTGCATGGAAAGACACCCATGTTAGAGGCATAGGAACATCCGGCAGAGGTAAAATGGAAAGAGAATTAATCAATCTTTACCACATATCACTGGACCAGGAAATGCTTTCTTTTGGTTGAGTTTTTCTTGGGAGGGGGGAATGGCAGGCAATAATTGACCTATTTATCACTTTTGTCCCACTTCTGTGCTATCACTGGTGACAGGATGATGGTGCAATTTTTGGGTGAAGTGGCATTATATTATTTGGATTTAATGTCCTCATTAATCTCATCAGAACTGTGAATTGAGCCTATTTTAAAACACTCCATTACACAAACATTTTCATATAATACTAGAAGGAATACAATAGAAGATAATTGCTTCAAGGCAAACTTCATTAAATAAAGTTTTACAAAGAAATTCAACTTCAACCTATACCTGCATTCATGGTATGTTCACAACACAATAAGTTCTGAGAAGCTGGAAAGTGAGACTCCTTTTGTAGGGGAACTGCATGATGCAGGGGAATCCTGCACTGCATCAGGTTCTGCCAGTTGGCACTGACAGAACCTATTCCAGAATTTAATCAGATTAGAATATTTGACTTTGAAAACAACACAATCAGGCTGTCACACAGAGAAAGGAGTGATGGACAGGTCAATTAACACCTTTCCACCTGTAGGGCTCAAGAGACTTAGGATGTGTGGCTCAAAACCACATCACAACCAAAACCACAACAGATACACTCCAAAGCATTGTGCAGGTTCATGCACACTTGTGATGGGGTCAAACTTGACAAGCGGACATATTGCTTTATACATTCACAGAATTAGAGAAGCTATAATCACCCTGTCCAGGAATAAGCAGGAAGATAGAATATCAATCACTATGCAGGTCTGGACCAAGAGGGGTCCTCCAGAAAAGGGGTGAAAACTGAGTCAGTTACTCTACAGTGCAGGAAAGAGTGGTGAGTGGAGCAGCATAAATGAATCAGATTGCTCTGGATTCATGCAATATTCTTGCACACCTGTCATTCACTCTTGGAAATAACACCCTTCTTTCTAGGGAAACATTTCCCCTTTGAGAAAAGGGAAAATGGATGGACTGGAAGATGGTTGATTTTGCTATTGCTTTGAGAGTGTACAAGGAGTGCTCCTTCATGAGTGACGTGAAACAGAGGATCATCCTTTCTAGGACTTCTCAGTTCAGGGTATAACTGCTTTCCTCATTTTTGGAAGAGAGACCAGGTAAAGCAAAAATATGTCCGAAATCCAAGGGCAGAAATTACTCCGGAAACAATAAATGATTCTTCCTTGGCATAACATTCTGTTATGCATGTTATAAATTACACAACTTGATACCATGTTTGATTTCCTTCACATCATCCAGATCACTCTCAAGAAGAAAATGCACAAAACTTAATTGCAAGATTCTGACAAAGTACAGTATTTCTGCTGCTTTAAAAAATCAAAAATGAAATTCTTGAAAATTATTAATCCCTTTTGCTGGGGCTCCATGATGAGATACCCTACGAGAAAAAATCCCGCGGCCCAAAAATCCCATAGGCCAGAAAATCTTGCGTGGTCCAAAAATCCCGTAGGTACAAAAATCCCCAAGAGTACTACAAAATTGTAATATTGTCTCTGTGTTACCTACCCTTCCAACTGTCTGGAAGGAATAAAAATCTGGTGGATTATGAAATTGTGAAAGTGCAAGAGTTTGAATTCCTTCTTAAGGGTTTGGGAGGTTTAGGCATTACCTTTCTCAATAGAATCTCACCTTCACTTCCTCATCTTTCCTAAGAGAAAGGTGAGGAAGCTTGGGAAAGATGTAGCCTTCATCCCTGCATTGTTTTGTACATAAACTGTAAACTTTTCCAATGATTTTCACAGCTCAACTTCCCCTTCTGAAGTGATGAACTTGCATCAATTTGGGTGGAAATCTTCTGAAGAGGAAGATTTTTCAAATTCGTATTGATTTTTTTCCTTATATCCTGTACTATATATTGAATATTAAGATTGAAAATGAAATATCATTATATAACTGCATCATGAGACTTATTTGATGAATTTCAATTGTTTAAATACCATTGACTTCTGTAGTTTTCAAACGAGGTTTCTCTGATATGAAAATTCATCTTCGGGGATTGTTGTACCTATGGGATTTTTGGACCTTGCTTGATTTTGGGGCCTACGAGATTTTAAGCCGCGCGGGATTTTCTCCTGCACCCCTTGCTGAGGACCCCAACTTCTGGCTGGGTGTCAGCATTTATCTTGACTAATCCAAGAATTTTGTTTCAACATTTTTTTTACAAGATATGTGTCATCCATCCAGGTTCCCAGCATCAATCGCATTTTCTTTTGGACACAGTTACACTTTTTTGGGGTCTGCTGATGAATGTTCATTTTTGAAAGACTTTTCAAACAATTAGCAATCATTGAACAAATTCAACTTCGCACCTGAATTATGGATGTCTATGTGCATCCTTTTGCAAGTGATGGATGGTTATGTTGGTCAAAGGCATTCCTCGATATGACACGTAATCACGCACCATGGACAGAAGACTGTGATTTCCAAAGAACAAGGACAAAAAAGGTTTGGAAATGCAGCCAAGGACACACTCACCATCATACAAGGAAGAGAACTGATTCGAGCAGAAATCAAATCCTGGGAAGATTCTTCCACTCAATAAATCCCTTTTAATCACACCCAGAAGGGTTTATTAACAGCGCATTGAATTTAAGTTTGTTAAAACATTGGTCTGCAACTCCTTGTCCACGGACCGGCGCTGATTCGCAGTTCTTCCCTTGTGCGCAAGACATTTTCATCCACATAACTATAGTAATTACAATATCAAAGACAGTCTACATCCGATTATCTTCATCTGAAATTTTGGAAAGACAGTTGCAGTTGAAATTATCTCGCGAAAAATAAAAGTTGGCTTTTCTCCGACTAACACTGTTGACAAATGTTCACCTGCTAAAATAAATTATTTTGAGTATTCATTCCGTAAAACTTTTCTCTAAGACCAATTCTCCAATTTTTGAAGGTATTCCTATATAGCTGCTTGATAGTTCTTGACTTGTGTTTCGCAATACAGTTAGCGTTCGAAGGACTTCATGAAATACATTGGACAATTTACTGGTGGTCTGAAAAAAAATGTTTAACCCTTGTCGATCCAAAATCACTTTTTTACAACTTTACCAGCTGCAAAATAATTGTATGGAACTTCGCCTTCATAGGAATTTGTCAGTACTGTACACAGAAACTTGATGGAAATTTACAAGTCCACAGAAAAATGTATTCGCGTTTATGGAAATTCACCAGTCTAAAGAAAATCGTATGGAATTTGCGTCCACACAATTGTGTGGACGCAAGAAAATGGACGCAAGACTCACACACAATTGTGTGGACTCAAGAAAATTTGCCAATCCACAGGCGCAAAGAGATTGGGGAACACTGCGTCCAACTTCACGATTTCACAGGAACCACAGGCCCATCACAGAGGAGCAAGACGCGGCAAGGATCAACCAGCGTAACTGTCTCTACCAGGGGGAAATGTCGAGAAGCCACATCAGTATAGTATAGTACAGTATAGCACAACCCGCCAACGGCTGACGGAGAGAAGAGTGTGGAAATGGCTGAGGAGTGGGAAGACCACGTCAACTCAACATCACCAACGAATCTCTCATCCAATTGACAAGACTTCAAACTTCGCACCCTCTTTTCTCTTTTACAATGATGAAAAAAAAAATCACCAGAGTGATTCTCTTTCAA